CCTTTCCTTTCCTATCCTTTCCTTTCCCTCTTTTTTTCTTTTCTTTCCTTTCCTTCCATTTCCTTTCCCCCCTTCCCTTTCCTTTCCTTTTCTTTTTTTTTTCTTTCCTTTCCTTTCCTTCCATTTCCTTTCCCCCTTCCCTTTCCTTTCCTTCCTTCCCTTTCCCTTTCTTTCCTTTCCTTCTGTCCTTTCCTTTCCTTTCCTTCCCTTCCTTTCCTTTCCTATCCTTTCCTTTCCCTCTTTTCTTTTTCCTTTCTTTCCTTTCCTTTCCTTTCCTATCCTTTCCTTTCCCTTTTTTTCTTTTCTTTCCTTTCCCCCTTCCCTTTCCTTTCCTTTCCCTCTTTTCTTTTTTCTTTCCTTTCCTTCCATTTCCTTTCCCCCTTCCCTTCCCTTCCCTTTCCTTCCTTTCCTTCCCTTTCCCTTTCTTTCCTTTCCTTTCCTCCTTCCCTTCCCTTTCCTTCCTTTCCTATCCTTTCCTTTCCCTCTTTTCTTTTTCCTTTCCTTTCCTTTCCTTTCCTTTCCTTTCCTTTCCTTTCCTTTCCTTTCCTTTCCTTTCCTTTCCTTTCCTTCCCTTCCCTTCCCTTTCCTGGAAAGAGCAGTCACCTGGTGCGCACGAGTGCTCCGGAAACCGGAAAATAATCTCCCCTGTGGACGCATGTGCACTGGGAGACTACTCTTTCCATTTCTGGCACTCCCGCTCGCGTGAAGACCAGCTGTCCGGCGTTCCGGAACCTGGAAGAGCAACAGGGGATAGCTTGCATGCCCGGAGAGATGGCTCTGCGTGCCACTTCCGGCACGCGTGCCATAAGTTCCCCATCACGGGGATAGGATCTTGGGACGTATTCTCCAAAGCACCTGAGGGCAGGACAAGAAGCAACGGATGGAAACTAACCAAGGAGAGAAGCAACCTAGAACGAAGGAGGAATTTCCTGACCGTCGGAACAATTGTTCCTAAAACGGGATAGATAAATGTGATGATGGATCCTTTCTTTTTTTTTTTTCTTTTAGGCAAAACGTCTACCGATTAATTCAGGGACTGACGGTAGAGAAGGGCCCTGCAGGAGCCGACGCGGCCTACGCCGTGTACACACAGATGTGGAGCAACACGGAAGACCAAGAAGTCATGAAGAGGACAGTGGTGGATCTGGAGACAGATTATATCTTCCTGGTTCCTACCCAGCAAACTCTTCAGCTGCATCAAGAAAACGCCAAGTGAGTGACGAAGGATTCGGAGGGGTCCCTCGTTCGTGTGGAGCATGTCTTGCTGACGGCTGGGCCTCTCATAGAATCACAGATCTAGAAGGGACCTTGGAGGTCTTCTAGTCCAGCCCCCTGCTCAAGCAGACCACTCTATATCATCATCTTTTAATGACCCCATAATCCCTTGTGGGAGGGGTGGAGTCTGGGCAACTGAATGGAGCTAGCAGAGTGTTTTTTACTGGCCCACTGCCCTTCCTGTCACCAGTGCGGAGTTTTGTTCAGCAGATACATTCTCATCGTGCCCACAGAGAGAAATATCTGCCTCTACCTAGGTTCGAACTCACAGTCTCCTGATTGTGAGGCGAGAGTGTCACCTCTAGGCCACCGCACCACTCCCTTGAGACCCTATCATTCTGGAAAAATGGTTGTCCAATCTTTTCTTGAAAACCTCCGGCGATGGGAGCCGTTCCATCGCTGACAGGAAATCTTCGACTTACAACAGTTGGTTCAGTGACCGCTCAAAGTTACAATGGCACTGAAAAAGGTGACTGAGGACAGTTTTTCACACTTACGACCGTTGCAGCATCCCCATGATCACATGATCAAAATCCAGATGCTTGGCAACTGACTCATATTTACGCCCGTCGCAGTGTCCCCCTTTTGCGACCTTCTGATAAGCAAAGTCATTGGGATAGCCAAATTCACTTAATAAGCATGTGATTAGCTTAATTAGCTTAGTGATTCACGTTAACAACTGGGGCAAGAACGGTCGTCAGAATGGAGCAAAACTCAACGAATGCCTCGCTTAACAACGGAAACGTTGGGCTCCATTGTGGGCGTAAGTCGAGGACTAGCTGTCATCGTTCTTATTTATCTTACCATCCAACTTTCTGCTTTGCTCATTCCAGAACTGCCAAGACCTACAGCTATCTCTTCTCCGAGGCCTCGCGAATGCCCGTCTACCCCAGTTGGGTAGGGGCGGATCACGCCGATGAGATTCAGTACGTCTTCGGCAAACCATTTGCTACGCCTTTGGGTTACAAGGCCCGGCACAGGAAGCTCTCCGAAGCCATGATTGCTTATTGGACCAACTTCGCCAGAACTGGGTGAGAATTTGGGGTTCAGAGTAGAGCACACAGCCAAGGGGTTGGTTAGGGCTCTGGAAGCCTTCGCTCCCCCACCTTTTAAACCATTTTTAATGTTCCTCTTTTAAATGCTACATAATTTTTTAAGGCTTTATTGTAGTTCTTAAATATAATATGTGATGGATGATGATAGATAGATAGAGATAGATATACAGACAGACATAGACAGAAAAGATAAAAATATAGAAGATAAAAATATAAAGAGAGAGAGAGAGACAGAGAAACAGAGACAGAGAGAGAAGAAAGAAAAGGAAGATCAAGATATAGAGAAAGATAGACAGACAAGAAAGAAAGAAATAGAGATAAATAGACAGAGAAGATAAAGATAAAAGTATAGAGAAGTTATGGATAGATAGAAAGATAAGATAGAAAAAGATCAAAATAGATTGATAGATAATAGATGGATAAAGATAGATGATATAGATAGATGATAGATAAGATAGAAAGATGGAAAAATGGAAAGATAGACGAATAGATGGATAAAGTTAGATGAGAGAGAGATAGAAAGATGGAAAAATAGAAAGATAGATGAATAAATGATAGAAAGATGGAAAAATAAAAAGATATATGAATAGATGGATAAAGATAGATGATAGATGGTAGAAAGAGAGAGAAAGATGGAAAAATAGATAGATGAATAGATGGATAAAGATAGATGATAGATGATAGAAAGAGAGAGAAAGATGGAAAAATAGATAGATGAATAGATGGATAAAGATAGATAGATAGATGATAGATAAATAGAGATGGAAAGATGGAAAGATGGAAAAATAGAAAGATGAATAGATGGGTAAAGTAAGATAGATGATAGATAGATGACAGATAGATAGATAGATAGATAGATAGATAGATAGATAGATAGATATAGAAAGATGGAAAAATAGAAAGATAGATGGATAAAGATAGATGATTGATAGATAGAAAAAAAAGTAGGGAAGGCAGATGGATGGATGGATGGATAGACAGACAGAATGGGTGCCCTAGAAAGTTCTTAGTGCCCCCCTTGGAAGGTTTTTCCAGGGCCCTTTCGATAACAGGTACCCTAAAAAAGAGCTAAAAAGCCAAGAGTGTCTTATCCTCAACCTAGAAAACATCAGCTCGGAGGATCCTGAACCTGCCTTTGTCGGGAAGGAGGCTCTAGTTTCTTTTCCGTGTCGCGTACACAAACCAATAAGCTGGTGTGATATTTTTTTTTTGTCTGAGTGTGTATTCCTCTCCCCATCAGCGACCCGAACCAAGGAGTATCCAAAGTCCCCATCGCCTGGGTGCCTTACAACAACGAAAGCGCCTTCTACCTCGATATCAACCACAACATCAACTACGAGTCGGTGAAACAAGGCCTGCGCGCTCTTTACGTCAACTTCTGGAACGTGGCTTACCGCCAGCTCCCCAACGTCCGAATCGCAGCGAAGCAGGAATAAGAAAAAACAAACAGAGAACCCCGAACCGTGTGTCTCTGCTGCTCTCTGTATGTGAAACGAGAATCCAATAAACAGATCTCACTCTATGGAAATCTTCCCCGTTTGTTCCGCCTGCGAAAGTCCCAAATTCCAGCATCTCTGTTGCTTTGGGAAACACATACACACACACAGAGAAAGAGAGACACAGAGAGAGAGACAGAGAGAGAGACAGAGAGAGAGAGAGAGAGAGAAAGAGAGACACAGAGAGAGAGAGAGAGAGAGAGAGACAGAGACAGAGAGAGAGAAAGATAGAGAGAGACAGAGACAGAGAGAGACAGAGAGACAGAGAGAGAGACAGAGAGAGAGAGAGAGAGAGAGAGAGAGACAGAGAGAGGCCGGGCTATCAATGTAATGATTTTAAATTGGATGTTTTAAATTTTGGGGTTTTTTAATATTGAGCCGAAATTATTTAATAATTTTAAATTATTTTAATTGTTGTTTGTCTTTGTGTTTTTAATAGGCTGTACACCGCCCTGAGTCCTTCAGGAAAAGGGCAGTATAGAAATAAAATTATTATTATTATTATTATTATTATTAGAGACAGAGAGAGACAGACACAGAGAGAGACACAGAGAGAGACACACATACACACACACACAGAGAGACAGAGACACACACACAGAGAGAGAAACAGAGAGAGAGAGAGAGAAAAAAAAGAGAGAGACTGGAAGAGAAAGAGAGAAAGAAAGAGACTGGGAGAGAGAGAGTGAGAGAAAGAGACTGGGAGAGAGAAAAAGAAAAAGAAAGAGAAAAAGAGAAAAAGAGAAAGAAATGAGGAGGAGAGAAAGAGAGAGAAAAGGAGAGAAAGGCTGGAGGGAGAGTCTTGTCCATTAATTTTGAAAAATGGGCTCTCCGGCAGTTCAGCTCAGTTTTGCAGCACACTGGGTGTTGCTAGGGCAACTCTTTGGGAATGGGGATTTCGCAGTATCCTTCCCACAGGAGTGGGGAGGGAATGGAGATTTTGCAGTATCCTTCCCCTGCCACGCCCACCGAGCCACGCCCACAGAACCGGTAGTAAAAAAAAATCTGAATTCCACCGCTGTCAACAGTTCAATCCTGAGCTACGAATAAATTCAATTTCTCAATTCGAAATTGTCGGCGAACAGGATTTCTCTTGCCCAACGCCGTTCTTTCGGGAAACCTTAGGATCGAAGCCCCCGACTCTTCTCAAGAGAGGCACCCAGACAAGACGACGATAGGACCGGTTTCTCTTTTAATTGAAAAGGCTACTTACATCAGCATTAGTGTGCTACTTCACAGAAATAGGTACAAAATTTGACCTCGCCTAGACAGCTCACTCGCACACTGGTTGTGGAATTGGCTGGAGACAAGCCTCCTGACACCAACCCCCAGCAAAAAGGGGGGTGGGGGGAGAGAGAAGGCTAAAAATATTTAGGCAAGAATTATAAAGCCCGATACCCCCTTAATAGCATCTCGGTATGGTCAAGGGACGGCGTGTTGTCCCAAGGAAGGCAAATCCTTGCCAATTTGGGGAAGCGGAGGGGGGCAGAAAGCATTCACCTGGCCGATCAACAGAGAGAAGGTGGCCTCCAGGTAGAAAAGGACCCCTTAAGCCCCCTTCCTTCCTCCCAGCCAAGCAGCTGAACAGGAGGCCACCAATTCCGCACACCCCCTGCCCACCAGGGAAACTGTAAAACAAGCGAGACTAGAAAAATCAGCGTTGCCTTCTTAGGGCGCAGGAATTCATAAAAAGCATCCGATGAGGATCCTAGAAAAAGTTGGGAAGGGGGTGGAAAAGATGGTGGTGGGTGTGTGGAAAAAGATGGGAGGCGAGGAGGAACTTCGCCTCTGCCTTCAGGAAGACGATCCTTTCCTTCATAGGCAGAGGTGGGGTGGTGGTGGAAAAATCCACCGGTGTTAGTGGGTGGGTGGGTTGGTTTTTCTTGAGGGGGTCTTTAAGTATCTTCCTGTTAAACAGGCTCGAAAAAGCAGTGGGGTACCCCCCTCTTTTGGGGATCCCCAAAAGAGAAGATTGCCAAATCTTTTGGGGATCCCAAAAGAGAAGATTGCCAAATCTTTTGGGGATCCCAAAAGAGGAGAGTCCCCAAATCTTTTGGGGATCCCAAAAGAGAAGATTCAGCGGAGAAGATGCTGCCCCATCCAGGTTCTTGGCACGTGGCTTGGAAACTGGAGATTTCCGTGGCCCAATGGAGCCACCGGCGTTTGACGTCGCCTTTCGATTCGAATTGAGGATTCTCTGCCAAGAAACAAGAATCCATGAAACTGCAAAAATTCAGATTTCCCTGCGTGGCTTTGAGGCATCGGGGAAGGAGGGGCGAGCAATGCCCTCTCCTCAGTTAAATACATCTCCCTCCTAAGCTGCCTCTGGGCACTGAATTCTGGGCTGCGAAAGAAGCCAGTTTATCCTTATGGGTTTTGTTGTTGTTGTTTTGAAGTTTTAAGGATGAATTTATTAAGCCTTGATGCATTTGGGGGAGCTTTATCTCTCTCTCTCCTTGCCTGAATTCCTCCAAGCTCTTTGCACTCAAACCACAAAGCTCTCGGAAACAACCCGAGATGTTAAAACTGGAGTTTCTGCTTCACCCTTCCTTTCACACCTAAAATTTCCCTCGCCCCTCCACAAAACCCTTTAAAAAAAAAAAAAAAACAGAAAATAAAAGGGAACGTCACGGACTTTTTAAAGACAGGGTTAGTAAAATGTATAAATCCAACCGGGCTATTTACAAACAATAAATATCGAGGGAATTAGTAAATTCAGGAAAAGCGGGGTCGATTCTCGTCGAGGCTTGTTTTTTGTTTTGTTTTTTACAAAAAAGAAAAAAAAATCAGTCACAGAAGCTACTTCGTAGTCAGGGCTGAAGTCCGTGTCAACACAAAAGTGGTACCTGTCCATTGGGGTCAGGAGCCCCATATTGGGGTGAAGGGGGGAGGGTGAGGAATGGCCTCACACTTTAGAGCTCTCGGTTCGTCCCTCGCCCCGATTCTTCGTCCAATCCACAAATTTTATTTACACGCGTCTGTACAAAAGCTAAGTGTTTTTTGTTTTTTGTTTTACTCCTAGTGTGTCAGCCGAGAGATTTGACGACTGAAAAAAAACAACAACAGAAAAACAAAACAACCAGTGCTGTTAAGATCTTTGGTGCAGGTTCTTCTTAAAAGAAAATAAAAAGGCCAGATATTAATAATAATAATAATAAAAAATAAAAAAATGGAGAAGTTAATGATCTGGTGGCTTGGTCTGGCATCCTAAAAGGCCATCTTCAGCCACACACACACACATATATATCCCTTCTCCAATTCCCACAGGAAATTCCACTTTCCCGGGCCACGAAAGTGTCGAGTGTCGAGTCTTCCTCGCGATACGGAAACGGGGGGGAACCACTCCCGATTCCACATCCTTTGCTCTTCCGGTACGTCCACGGTGGGGAAAAAAAAAAACCTTTCAGAAGTTGTCGAAGTCGCCAGTCTTTGTTGGTCAACAGAAGATAAGGCAGAAACGGTGGACGGGGAAGTTCACGCAGCCACAGGCTGTGGAGTCCTTTAGACCTTGAGAGAGGTGAATTTTGTATTTTTATATTTTCGGGTTTGTTTTGTTTTTTTTAAAGGCTAAAAATCCTCCCCGGATCGGAGTTGGGGGGGAGGAAGAAACCCCCCAGCAATACACATCTTTTTAAAGGCAACTTCTGCCGACACATCCCACACGCTCAGAAGTCTGCAGAAGCTTGGTTGAGAAGGAGCCACCAATTTCTTGAAGATCTCACCAATGTTCCTAAATTCCCGGGCGAAAATCCGAGGCTTAGGTAACTAGAGGCGTCATCGTCTCACATATACAGACGCCCCAGTGTGGCTTAAGACAGAAGGGCCCGTGGTGGTGGGGGGGCAGGACGACAACCTGGAGAGTCAGTGGGAGGGGGGGACACGGAGACCCCCCCCCCCCCACCCTTTCCCCCCCACCCCTCGGTTAGAAGATGCCTTTGGCGATTTTCAATCCTTTCTGTTTCACCCTGGGGAGCGTGGAGCTGGAGCCGTGCTTGATTTTGATCACTTTGGAGAAGCCTCGCTTCTTGAGCATGAAGTCGTAATTGGCGGCCGAGTTCATGGCGTAGAAGACGTTGGCGTTGTCGGGAATTTTGAGCTCTATGGGGAGGAGGGAGAGAGAAAGGAAAAGAAATGATCCCTACTCACGGTAACTTAATGCCCTAGTCCCGTGATGGGGTACCTGTGGCACGTATGCCAGAGGTGGCACGCAGAGCCTTCTCTGTGGGCACGCGTGCCATCGCCAGCTGCTCTTCTGGTGGTTTTAGGCCCGAAAAAGGCCAAAAACGGTCTGAAAACAGCTGAAAAACGGTCTGAAAACAGCTGAAAAACGGTCTGAAAACAGCTGAAAAACGGTCTGAAAACAGCTGAAAAACGGTCTGAACACAGCTGAAAAACAGTTGAAAAACAACCCGGAAAACGGCCTGAAAACGGCCCAAAAAATAGCCCCAAAACAGGCATGCGCGCCAGGTTGAGCTGATAACTACGCTCTCTTTTAGTGAAGCGTGCAAAACCAGCCTTGTGCATTTCCCGAATTTATTTATTTTTTGATATATTTATTTATTTAAATCTGGAGTGTGGGGAAAGTTAACCCGCACGGTAAATAAAGAAATAGCATGAAATAAAATCGGGAGGGTCCAAATGGCGCGTTACCAACTTCTGTACCTCTCTCTTCGGAGATGATCTGGATGAGTTCATAATCTTCCGGCCGATCCCCGTCCAGGTTGTGTTTGGCCATCGCTTTCCGAATCACCACCGGGGTTTTATCCTGGCTCGTCACCTGGAAGAGTGGCATTTAAAAGAGGGACACCTTTAGGCACACGGTGAAGCGAAGCCAACTTCCCTTCATTTCATGGCTAAGGCGTTTGCTATGTTCTGTAGATGTTGCACTGATGATGTTACCTAGTTGGGTCATGAAACAAGAAAACTACCACGCTCAGGGAGCACCAAGGACCCGAGTCCTTTTCCTCCTCCTCCTCCTCCCCGCCTCCTCCTGCACTCTGCAAAATCTATTCCCGTCTAGCACTGATGTTGTTACCTAGTTGGGTCATGAAATGTTTGCAAGAAAACAACCAAACTCAGGGAGCACCAAGGACCCCACAGTTCTCCTCCTCCTCTTCCTCTTCCTCTTCCTCCTCCTCCTCTTCCTCTTCTTCTCTTTCTTCTCTTTCTCCTCCTTCTCTTTCTTCTCCTCCTCCTCCTCCTCCTCCTTCCCCTTTGCCTGCACTCTGCAAAATCCACTCCCTTCTAGCACTGATGATGTTACCTAGTTGGGTTATGAAACATCTGCAAGAAAACTACCAAGCTCAGAGAGCACCAAGGACCCCACAGGTCAGTCCCGAGCTACAAATATTTTCTCGAGGATGGCAAAGGCTGTCTCTTTGTGAGCGCGCAAGAAGAGACAGCGTAAAGATATGATTTTCACTAGCTGTGGTTCCACACTGGCTCAAGTCTCATCGACAGATAGACGTTTCAATTCGGGCTAGATTATTATCCCAACCTTCTCGCCTCCAGCAAAGACGGAAGGTACCTACCAAAATACTTTTATACATGTTTCCGTTATCCACCGCCAAGCTGACTCGGATGATACAACAATCATCGATCTGCTGGTTATAAAGAGGCAACGAGAGAGAGGAATAGCTGGAAATTCCCGAGACGGAGCGTTTGTGCGTACGGGACACGGTCACCGGCGTGGAGGAGACGGACGACGACGAAGCGCTGCTGGAACTTGACCCGACACCCGACGTATCCAAGGAGGACAATGAGGTAGATTCCCAAAACTTTATAGACGAAAGAGAAACGAAAGACAACGTTGATGATCTAATCAACGAGATCTACCTAGCTATCCTATCTTTGCCCTTGTTGGGAGATGCCTTCATGGTGCCTTACAACAAGACCCGCCGTGGTCCAGAAGGACGAGGAAGAAGTTGAGAAGAGAGTGTCCTGACCCAGCTCCCCAAACACGACCAACCCTCTGAAGTTAAATCAAAAGATTCCTTTATTAGCAGCCCTGGGAAAAAGTTCCTCTCTCAACGCAGGCTAACAAGGCCATCCAGCAGTCTCCCACATCTATTCATCTCCGCCCCTCTGCCTTTTATCCCCAGATAAAAGGGTGGGGCTTCGCTAGCAGTGGTGGTTCTTCTGTCCCAAGGACCGGCTCATAGATTTCCACTGCTCTCCTCTCCTCTGCCGTCTGTGCATCCACGCATCAGGCATTGGACCCAGCTGTTCCTCCTCCTCCTCATCAGCCACCTCCAGAGCTGGGGGCTGTTGACTCCATTCCCTCTTTCCTCTCTCGGAGCTCTCAGGTTGCCTGGATGCTGACCCTGACTCCCACGCCTCCTCCTCCTCTTCTGATTCGGCTGCTGGAGGGGCCGATAGGCCACAACAGATAGTTTTGGAGGTGGACTCTCCAAACCATCTCTAAACATCTTCTATCGCCCCAGAAATTTCATCGTATCTCTCCAAAGCACCATGAAGAACATCTCAACTTCTCAGTTCCCTGGTTGCTCTCAACCAACCCCCACAATAAAGCCCTCCTACCTCCCCCCCCCCCCCCCGAAATGGGGCGCACCTGCCGCCTGACCCCCTGGGCACGAGTGGATCCCAGCGAGCCGTGGTCCTGTACCTTCTTCTCTTGAACCTCGGGCGAATCAGGAATGTAGCTGATGTTGATCTCTTCCACGTCGGAGCTGCTGGAACCCGCCGAGGTGATGCTGACCGAATCGGCCCCATCACTGCTGCAGAGATACGGCCCGCACTTCAACTGGTCAAAGGACTTGGAGTGAGAGCTGCCGCTGGCACAGGAATCGGTACTGGGGGCCTGTCGGCTGTGGGGAGAAGAGAGTCAGGAAAAGGGCTGGTGAAGGGGATTGTATGGGGCTGGCTCCCACCTTGAATGGGAAGCGTGGGCCTGTAATGGATTGTGTGATGATCTGAGGGGAAGGAAGGAAGGAAGGAAGGAAGGAAGGAAGGAAGGAAGGAAGGAAGGAAGGAAGGAAGGAAGGAATGCTGCCTAGGAAACAATTAGAGAAGAGAGGCAGAGAACTATATGATAGCAGTTTTCCAATATCTCAGGGGCTGCCCCAAAGAAGAGGGAGTCAAGGCTGTGGATGCTCCATCACTGGAGGCTTTTAAGAAGAGACTGGACAGCCATTTGTCTCAAATGGTATAGGATCTCCTGCTCAGTTGGACCTCCAGCTCAGTTATTCTCTTATTCTGAAATATATTAATCAGTATTCAACTAGAGAGGACAATATATGTGTTTGGGTTTTGTTAACGGACATTTTTTTGTGTGTCTTTTGTTTTTGCTGTGTTTGTTGTTTCCCTTTTTTCGTTGACGTTTGTATGTTAACTTTGGAAATAGAGAGGGAGAGAGAGGGAGAGAGGGGGAAAGAGAGGGGGAAAGAGAGAGGGGGGAGAGATGGAGAGAAAGGTGGAAGAGAGAGAGGGAGAGGGAGACAGAGGGGGATGAGAGAAGGAGAGAGAGAGAGATAGGGAGGGAGAGGGGGGAGAGAGACAGAGGGAGAGAGACAGAGAGAGAGGTGGAAAGAGAGAGAGAGAGAAAGAGAGGGAGAGGGAGAGGGAGAGAGAGAGAGAGAAAGAGCAAAGGAACACTAAGTCGCTTCCTGCTGCCACTTTTAACTGCTTGATGCATCAGCACGAGTCCTTCCTAACTTTCTTCCTCTGTCTGTTGAGCAACTGAGGGCTCCTGCCTCTCTTCTCTGATTGTTTCCCGGGCAGAATCTCTTCTCCTTAAGTCCCCCAAGGTCAGTCACACACACATTCCACCGCAGGTTCTCTCCTCTACGTAGTGCCCCAATCGATCACACAGACCATTTCTCCAAAGGGAGGAAGGGGCAAGAGGGCGATCCAAGCTAGACATCCTTAAATCCCTCTTGGGCTTTTGACCACCCCCCCAAAATGCAGTCATATCGTCACCGCTACCGTCTCGGGAGAACCGGGTCGAACCCGGAGGAACCCACCATTGCCTTTGCCACACACACCCCAACTTCCCACTTACTCGCTCCACCGCTTAATGATGCCCGTGTTCTTCTTGGCTTTCAGTGTGTTGCTGGCCGATTCCGACAAGGGTTCGATCTCGCACGAAAGGCCGTAGCTGAAAACAAAGGGAAGAGAGGACTAGAAGCATTGAGACCCACTTGTAGGAGATTTGGTCTAGTGGTTAAGGCAACAGGCTAGAAAGCAGGAGACGGTGAGTTCTAGTCCTGCCGTAGGCATGAAAGCCGGCTGGGTGACTTTGGGCTCACCAGGAGACGGTGAGTTCTAGTCCTGATTTAGTCATGAAAGCTGATTCAGTGACTTAGGGCCAATCACCAGGAGACGGTGAGTTCTAGTCCTGCCTTAGGCATGAAAGCCAACTGGGTGACTTTGGGCCAATCACCAGGAGACGGTGAGTTCTAGTCCCGCCTTAGGCATGAAAGCCAATTGGGTGACTTTGGGCCAATCACCAGGAGATGGTGAGTTCTAGTCCTGATTTAGTCATGAAAGCTGATTCAGTGACTTAGGGCCAATCACCAGGAGACGGTGAGTTCTAGTCCTGCCTCAGGCATGAAAACCAGCTGGGTGACTTTGGGCCAATCACCAGGAGATTGTGAGTTCTAGTCCTGCCTTAGGAACGAAAGCTAGCTGGGTGTCTTTGGGTCAGTCCCTCTCCCTCAGCCCAACCCAACTCAACTCATAAGTGTTGTTATTGTGGGGAAAATAGGAAGAGGAAAGTGTGTTGTGTCTATTCGCAGCCCTATTTGCAAACATAATCAGTCAGGATACAAACAAAGAAAGAAATATTTCTTGGCTTTACAGTCAAGTCCTCAACTTTCCTCACCGTTGGGGGCGAAATCCAGCAGGTTCTGACAGGTTCTAGAGAACCGGTTGGGAAAAAAATTTGGATTTCACCCCTGCTCCCCGTGAACAAAAAATCGGAGGGCGAGGAGAGGAATAAACCCACCAAAATCTTCATTTGCAGCCCCGAAGAAGAAAACAGCTCCCACTTACCTCTCGGCTTCGCTGAGGCGTTCCACGCTGTGAAACCAAGTCCCGAACCGATCGTCCTTCTTGAAGCTGTAATTATTACAAGCCGACTGAAGCAACTTGATCTGGGCGATGACTTCGAACTCCTGCAGGAACAACGAAGAGGTTAATGTGCGTTTGTGTTTAAAGAAGGAAGAAAAAAAAGGGGGGGAGAACCCCCCAAGAAACGTGACTTTAAAAGCAGCAGCACCAGCAAAATGAGGGTAGATTTAATCAAACTTTTATCAAACAATTTCTGCCAGCCAGTCAACCAGCAGCTCTTTGAGAAGAAGTCATTCCAAACTTCTGAGTTTGAACCCCTGCCTCCCTCTTTCTCAAGATAATACAGGTCGTCCTTGGCTTACAACTATTCCTTTAGTGGCCTGGACGGCACTGAGAGAAGGGACTTGTGACGGTCTCGCAAGTGTCTCGCTTAGCAGCATAAATGTTGAGCTCAATTGGGGTCGTTAAATCCAGGACTAATTGTGGTGGCCCTTAAGCCCAGTCTGTGGTAACAACCACAATCACAAATATCTCACCTTCCTCCTTTTCTCAAAGTTGATCAGGCCTCCCTAAAAAAGAAAGAAAGAAAGAAAGAAAAAAAACAGATGCTTAACATCCCAAGTCATTTCTAAACATCTAAGAGACGAGAAAGGTTTAAAAAAAAGAGACATATTTTCTGCAGCAAAGCAAAATCAGCAAACATTGCAAGGATCACGATGTATTTATTTGTATTCGGAGGCTAGATTTTTTTTTTTTTTTTAAAAAAGGCATTCAGGTCAAGTAAAATACGTTTAAAAAGACAAGGAATCCGTCAGGATACAGCTGGGATGCCAAATATAAAAATGTTCAAAAAGTCTTAAGCAACAAGGCAGGAACTGACAGCAATTTCCCAGAATTCTCAGGGGATCAGAGCTCCCAGAATTCTCCCCTCACGTTGTGAAAATGCTCACCCATTGCTCAACAAAATTAGAATAGAATAGAATAAAATAGAATAGAATAGAATAGAAAAATGAGATAGAAATAGAAATAGAAATAGAAATAGAAATAGAAATAGAAATAGAATAGAATAGAATAGAATAGAATAGAATAGAATAGAATAGAATAGAATAGAATAGAATAGAATAGAATAGAATAGAACAGAACAGAATGCGGAAATTTTGAGCACCGGCAAATACCACCTCTGGCTGGCCCCAGAGTGGGGAGGGAATGGGGATTTTGCAGTATCCTTCTCCTGGAGTGGGGAGGGAATGGAGATTTTGCAGTATCCTTCCCCAGGAGTGGGGAGGGAATGGAGATTTTACAGTATCCTTCCCCTGGAGTGGGGTGGGAATAGGGATTTTGCAGTATCCTTCCCCAGGAGTGGGGAGGGAATGGGGATTTTGTAATATCCTTCCCCTGGAGTGATATAGGAATGGGGATTTTGCAGTATCCTTTCCCTGCCACGCCCGCCACGCCCACCAGGCCACACCCACAGAACCGGTAGTAAAAAAATGTGGATTTCACCACTGAAAAACAGCCAGGGAAATGATTGAAGTCTGGGAAACGAAACAAGCCCCTTGTCAATCAACAGGAGTGCTGATTTATCACCAGCTTATCGGTTACTTAGGAACGGAGGGCTTGGCAGCCCAAGGAAACAACAGCCATCCATCCACACCCCAATCAACAACAACAATAACAAAAAAAACCCACACAACCAGGCACCACATAAATACCATGCACAGAATGGGTCAAAAACACACATTCTGGCGAGAGAGAAATAAATTCCCCGAGGATGGGCTCCAAGCAAGCACCAGCTCGAAAGCTCGGGAGATAATTTTCTTTTTATTTATTCATTAAATGCATTTGCCGCCCCGTCTCGCCACAAAGGGAGGACAACACTCCTGCTTTTTTTGCTTTAAAGATAGGCTGCCAAAGAGATCCCAAACCCCATGAAATAAAAAATGCAAACATTGCTAAAAGGTTAAGTACCAGAAGGGTCCACCAGGGGGCGCCGTGCCCTCTTTTTTGGGGGCTTCAATCTGGGCGGAGCAAGGCTCCCTAACCAACCAACCAACCACGTTTTACAAAAAAGACGACATCAAATTAAACATCAAATTAAAAAGAAGGAAAAAAAAGAAAGAAACATAATTCTGGCAGGAAAGAGGATGAAGGCAAACGAAGGGCCAAAGTTTAAATTATTCCTTACGATTAAAAAAAAAGGAAGAAGGAGAATTAGGATATAAGGATGTAAGGCTCAGTGGGTAAGACGCTGAACTTGTCGATCGAAAGGTCGGCAGTTCGGCGGTTCGAATCCCTGGTGCCGCGTAACGGGGTGAGCTCCCGTGACTTGTCCCAGCTTCTGCCAACCTTGCAGTTCGAAAGCACTTAAAAAAATGCAAGTAGAAAAAAAATAGGGACCCCCTTTGGTGGGAAGGGAACAGCGTTCCGTGCGCCTTTGGCGTTGAGTCATGCTGGCCACATGACCACGGAGACGTCTTCGGACAGTGCTGGCTCTTCGGCTTTGAAACAGGAGATGAGCACCGCCCCCTAGAGTCGGGAACGACTAGCACATATGTGCGAGGGGAACTTTTACCTATTACCTTACCTCTAAATAATCCTTCATGGCCGTGTCCAGCATCACCAGGTCGGTCAAGAAAGTGCCCAGGTAAGGAATGGTGCCTTGCATTACACCCTGGAATGGAAAATTAAAATTAGGAAGAGGAACGGAGGCAGCAGAGAGATACGGTATATAGTGCAATATCGGGTTTTCAATTTCAATTATATAAAATGTAAAGGATGTATGCTTGCGTTTTTATTTTTATAGTTATAATGTACACTGAAGGCGGCATTTAATTTCGCTGTACCACGAGCAATGGCAACAAACTAAACTAAACTAAACTGATGATATTACCCAGTTGGGTAATGAAACGTCTGCAAGAATCCCGCCAAGCTCAGAGAGCGCCAGTCTGAATTTCGTCGCAATCCTCACCATTTCTCGTTGCTGCTGCAGGCGCTTCTGAGCTCTTTTGGGGTTGATCTCCAGCGTGGCAAACTTGGAGGTCCCTTCCTGGAAGTTCAAGAAAGAGAAGGAAGAAGTCAAGGTGAATTGAACGAGAAATTCAAGGCAAAACCACAAACCTCGGGTCGATAGGTGGAGGGAGAGGGAGGCGTCAACCTATTCTTCAAAGCACCCGAGTCAAGAAACAATCGATGGGAACTCATGAAGGAGAGAACCGAACCTAGAACTAAGGAGAAATTTCCTACGAGTTGGAACAAGGATGCTCCATCCCTGGAGGTTTCAAAGATGATGGGATAAGGCAGTGATGGCGAGCCTTTTCGGCACCGAGTGCCCAAACCGGAACACACGTGTATGTGCGTGTGACGGACACCAGCTGGCCGGCACACGCATGCTTGTTTCTTGGCTGTTTTTCGGGCCGTTTTCAGGCCGTTTTCAGGACTGCTTCCGGCCCGAAAACGGCTCAAAAAACGGCCCCAAAAACAGCCTGGAAACGGCCCCCAAAATGCCCAAAAGATGGCCTGGAAACGGCCCAGAAATGGCTTGGAAAATGGCTTGTTTTTTGGTCATTTTCCAGGCTGTTTTCATGTAGTTTTTGGGCTGTTTTTGGCCAGAAAATGACCCAAAAAACAGTCTGAAAACAGCCTGGAAAACGGCCCGAAAAAGGGTCTGGAAACAGCCCGGAAAATACCACCACTGACGGGGATGCTGCAATGGTTGTAAGTATCCAAAAGGGTCATATATGCTCTCTTTTTTTCAGGGCCGTTGTTCGGACAGTCGCTAAATGAATGGTTGTAAGTCGAGGATAAATTTCCGCCTCTCCCCAGGCCGCCAGGAAAATACGAGCAAGGCACGGCAGCTAATCCACTCCTCGTGAGCTTTCTGTGCTCCAGGGAAAAAAAAAAAAAGAAGATAAGAGGCAGGGAAGCCCTTGGTTGACATATCGCCCTTTTTCCTGGGGCTTTATCTTCTGCCCCACCTACTCGGGGGATTCCTCGGCTGCCAACTTTGGGAGTTTCCTCTGAAATGAAGCAGACCACGGAGATATCGGGCTGTCAACAGCAGCGCCTTCCTTCTGCTTCACGCCGGCTTAGTGGAGTCAAAAGCCAGCGGAAAAAAAAAGACTTGAGCGACGAGGAGCAAAACTTCGCCAACTCTCCACGCCCAGCCTTACAACTCCCTTGAGACTTAAGAGCTTTTAAATAGGAAGGAGTCCAACCATTGTGGCTTTTAGCACTCCTGGTGAACCCACACACACACACACAAACACACACACAGACAAATGTTATTTGTTATACGCTCATTCAAAGTTTCCTCCCAGCTCCCAGGCGGGCTCACGCTGATGAGTCACCACCAGCGTGTTTACATTGAGAAGGCATTTGGACTGCAGTGCATTTCTGCAACAGAGAAATCTTTTTTATTTCTGGGCAGGGAGAAAATATTGGCCTTTTCGGCCCATCTCTTGAGAATGCAGGGGCTGTTTCGTGTTGCGGTTTTCCCCACCAGGCAATGATGCTTCCCACCCCGGCACACGTCTGAGAGACAGGTCTGATGCGGCTTTCTACAGGCGGTGTTTAAATGTTGCCGCTTTTTTTAAAAAAATTATTCATCGGATTGATAAGGCTGGCCCTGGCTCCGTAGGAAGTTTGCCCAGAGAGGAATAAGGAAGGCATTGTGGGGAAAAGAGAAATGAAGCCTCAGGCATCCAGAGAAGAGAATGGAAGGAAGGAAAATTAATTGAGGGAGGGAGGGAGGGAGGGAGGGAGGGAGGGAGGGAGGAAGGAAGGAAGGAAGGAAGGAAGGAAGGAAGGAAGGAAAATTTCAAGTGTGTAAGAAAGAGGGATGGAGGAGGGAGAAGGGAGAAAGGATTCCTTCCTTCCTTCATTTTCTCATTTCTTTCTTTCTTCCTTTCTCCCTCATTCACTCTCAAAATTCCTTCTTTTCTTTGCATTCCTACTTGAAATTTCCTTCCCGCCCTTGAGAGAGAGAGAGAGACAGATATAGGAAGGAAGGAAAGAAGGAAGGAAGGAAGAAAGAAAGAATGAAAGAAAGAAAGAAAGAAGGAAGGAAGGAAGGAAGGAAGGAAGGAAGGAAGAAAGAAAGAAAGAAAGAAAGAAAGAAAGAAAGAAAGAAAGAAAGAAAGAAAGAAAGAAAGAAAGAAAATAAATGTGGAGGAAGGAAGTCCATTTATTCTAAAAATAATAAAACAGGAACCGTCCCATCTAACTCAAGAACCCACGAAAAGCCAGATTTTAAGGGCTCTTTCAAACCCAATCAGGGTGGGTACCAGAAAAATTTTAAGAGAAACATTCCCATTCCAGCTGAGGCACCCTTACCTTAATCAGCAGCTCCCGGCTCAAGGAGTGATTGTTCTCGTCCGAAAAGATTTCGGATAATTCGTGGAACATGCGGCAGCTCTCCCTGCAAATGAAGGAATGACAACAATAAAAAAATGCAACGTGAAAAGAAGGGACTAGACAGCCACTTGTCTGAAATGGGGTAGGGCAGTGATGGCGAACCTTTTCGGCACCGAGTGCCACGCGCGCTCGTCGGGGACGCGCCCCGGAAGAGAAGCTGCTAAGTGGGCATGCGTGCGCTGGTGAATGAACTTCCGGTTTCTGGCGCGAAACCAGAAGACCAGATCTTCCGGCACTGCCGCACACGGAGAAAACAGCTGATCATTGTGGGGCAAAACCCACTTAACCAATTTCTCACTTAGCAACATAATTTGGGGGCTCAATTGTGGTCGTAAGTTGAGGACTACTTGTATAGATTTGCTGGCTGCACTGAGATCTGACTGTGATTGGGACTTTCCGGAGTTTAAAACCCAACCAACCCGGATCCAAACCATCATCCCTGGCCTGAAACCAAATTAAGGAATAGTAATGAAACACGGGAACATCCGATTCTTATAAAAACGCCTGCAAATATGCAAACATAACCCATTTTCCCCCCCACTATGAGCAGAGATACAGTTGCAGCTTAAAATACACAGAACTGCAAATTGCAAAAACAAGAATAGACGGCAAATGTTTTGGTGGGTTGAATATTGAAACATTTAATTGCAAAAGGGAAGTCAAACGTTGGTTGGTCGGTTGGTTTTTTTTTAAATGTTGATTTCCCTCTGCAAATTAAATGTTTCAATATTCAGCCCACACCAAAACCTTTTGGAAACATTTGTCTCCGGAAAAGGAATTTAATTTGACTTTAAATGACTTTTGCAGGCTTCCCATTTCGAGACTGGCTGGCTTTGTTTTCAAAACATTTCCCTGTGTAGGTGAAAGTCAGCTAAGGAAGAGATTCGGTCTTAACATTGATCCGAAGGCACTCCCGTTCCCTCCCGCTAAAATCTCCGTTAAAATTAAAAGTTTTCATCCCATTGGAAATTCCACACGGCTGCCAAACCAGCTTGCAGGAGGATAGAAAGGAAATCTTTATATTTTTCAATATAACCGGAACAATCTGGAACTGAACACACACGCGTGCTGAAAACCAGAGGAGCAGCTGCTCTTTTGGGTTCCTGCGTGCACACATGTGCCACCCAGCTGGTCTTTATACGCACGGGAGCACCGTAAACCGGAAGAGCAGCTGCCCGGCGCACATGTGCACGCCGGCCAGCTGATCTTCTGATTTCTGGCGCTCCCACACCCGCGAAGATCAGCTGACCTGCGGACATGCGTGCACCAGAACCCGGAAGAGAAGAACAGGTGGCGACAGCGTGTACCCAGAGAGAGGGCTCTGCGTGTCATCTCTGACATGCGTGCCCAAGGTTCGCCGTCACGGGAGTAGGGGATACGGGCGCTCATCCACGCGGATTTTTCCCTCCTCTGACTCACCGCGACACCTCGTCCCAGGTCTTTTTCAACCGGTGAACTGCGTTGCACTGGAGGGCAGAAAGGATGGCTCGGAGGGAGGAGAAGTTCTTCAGGATGCGGCATTCCTGCAGAAGGGGAGGGGGAAAAAAAAGATGGATGTAAATTTAGCTGCTTTGGATCGCTCTCTTACGCATACAGGAACATCCAAATCTTTTCAAAGTCCTTGTATTGCAAGTAAAACTCTTGTCTGTATCACTAATCTAGCTATGCTGTCTATCGTCTCTCTGCATCTGTTTTCCCTGTCTATAATCTTGATCTAGCTATTTACCTGTCTTTCTTTTCTTCGTTCCTCGTCTCTCTATCATCTGTTGATATCTATCTTCTCTCTAATCTTTCCCTATATCTCTAATCCAGCTTCTCTATCTATAATCTTCCTTTTTTCTTCCCTTCCTTGCTTCCTTCCTTCCTTTCCTTCCCTACTATTTTTCTTCCTTTCTTCTGTCATCAGTCTACATCTGTCTTCTCTGTAATCTTTCTCTATCCCTCCATCCCTCCCTCCTTCCCTTCCCTATCATCTTTTTCTTCCTTCCTGCTATCATCTGCCTACATCTGCCTTCTCTATCATCTTTCTCCTTCTTTCCTTTCCCTTCCTTCCTTCCTTCCTTTTCTCCTCTATTATCTTTTTCTTCTTTCCTTCTATCAACTGCCTATATCTGCCTTCTCTATAGTCTTTCTCCTTCCTTCCTTTCCTTCCTTTTTTTTTTTTTAAATTGATTTATATGCCACCCTTCTCCAGAGACTCAGGGCAGCTTACAATGCGTTTTTCTCTCTCCCTCCATCTTTCTCTCTCCCTCCATCCCTCCCTCCTTCCTTTTCTTCCCTATTATCTTTTTCTTCCTTCCTGCTATCATCTGCCTATATCTGCCTTCTCTATCATCTTTCTCCTTCCATCCTTTCTTCCTTCCTTTCCTTCCTAACTCCCTCCCTTCCTTCTCTATCATCTTTTTCTTCCTTCCTGCTATTATTTGTCTATATCTGCCTTCTCTATAATCTTTCTCCTTCCCTTCCTTCCTTCCTTCCTTCCTTCCTTCCTTCCTTCCTTCCTTCCTTCCTTCCTTCCTTCCTTCCCCCTTGTCTGTCCCATCCATCCACCCATTTCTTTCATCCAGCTTCCTATCACTTCTATCCATCGATCGTCTACCTCCCTCTATCTATCTGGACTTTTGACTTTCAGTTCTGACCCCTGCACAGCTCTGGTTTATTTTTTTAACGGGAAGAGAGAGAGAGAGAGAGAGAGAGAGAGAGAGAGGGAAGCCGGTCGGATCCTTGACGTACCCGGGCGACTTCGATCCATCGCTCCACCACTTTGGCTCTCTGCTGGGGCTTCAGCATCCTGTCCCCGAGGCAGGTGGCGATGACGCAATTCGTGACACTGTTGAACTGGGAGACGGTGGCCCGGATGCTGGGGGCCAAATGTTCCTTCCCCTTCTTGTCCCGCTGAGACCAGATGCAACCGAGGCAGTGATAAGGCACCACTTTCTTAAAGAGCTCCTGCGTGGGAAAAGGCGAGGGGGTCAAGTCAGTTCAGAGGAAAGAGGCAGGAAAGCAGAAGATCCCCAAGGACAGCAGGCCTGGCCGGACTTACAGCATCCATCAGGGTGAACTGCTCAGCCGCCATCTCCGGAGAAAAGGACAAGAACTCCGACTTGCCTTCGCTCAGGCCGTTCTCATCCTCCAACCTCAGAGGGCAACTGGGATGATCTACAGCAAGGAAAGGGCAACAGGCAACAGCCGTTCACACAGACTTCTTATTCGGGTTCTTCAACGAATTCGTTTCCTACCTTGTTTTCCCCGAAAATAAGACCTCCCCGAATAATAAGCCCCCTGAAAATAAGCTCTCCCACCAAAATAAGGTCTCCCTGAAAATAAGCCCTCCCTGAAAAATAAGCCCTCCCTGAAAAATAAGCCCTCCCGAAAATAAGCCCTCCCCTGAAAATAAGCCCTCCCGAAAATAAGCCCTCCCTGAAAATAAGCCCTCCCTTAAAATAAGCCCTCCCCTGAAATAAGCCCTCCCGAAAATAAGCCCTCCCTGAAAATAAGCCCTCCCTGAAAATATTTAAATGCATGCGTAGCTAGTCCCCGCCATTTCCTCTGGTTAGGGTTAGGGTGACAGAGCTGGAAATCAGGTAAGACGCCCCAAAATAATAAGACCTCCCTGAAAATAAGGCCAAGCACGTATTTCGGGGTTCAAAAAAAGATAAGATAGGGTCTTATTTTCGGAGAAACACAGTAAGTTCAGGCGCAGGAAATGCAGTGGTGGGTTTCAAATTTTTTTTAGTACCAGTTCTGTGGGCGTGGCTTGGTGGGCGTGGCAAGGGAAGGATACTGTAAAATCCCCATTCCCTCCAGATCAGCTGGGACTCGGGAGGCAAAGAATAGATGGGAGGCAGGGCCAGTCAGCATTTTTACTACTGGTTCTCCGAACTACTCAAAATTTCCCCTACTGGTTCTCCAGAATTGGTCCGAACCTGCTGAAACCCACCTCTGAGGAAACGGCAAGGCCAAGAGGTTGGGTTCGAACGAACCGTAGGAGTACCAACTCAGGTTTTGGAAAGTTGTTATATATGCCGCGCTCACCTTCCGTTTCAGCCTCGGCCCGCTCTTGTTGCTGGAACTGAGTGAAGAGGATTCGCGCTCGCCTCTCCAAATCCGAGCCGGGGATATTAAGCCGGACGTAAATGATCAGCTGCTTAAGGCAGGTGTAATCCGGCGGTTTACGGAAGTCTTCGGAGTATTGATCAAGCCAGGCTCCCAGGATGGATGAAATGGTGCTGGGGGATTAAGAGGAAGAAAGAGGTTTTGGAGACGCTTATTTATTAAACAGAGGATATTTTCGTTGCTCAGGTTTCAAATGTGGGGTCTTTGACGCTCTCTGAGCTTGGTGGTTTTCTTGCAGACGTTTCATGACCCAACTAGGTAACATTATCAGTGCTAGAAGGATGTGTGGAGAGGAGAAGGAGGAAAAAAGGAGGAGGAAGAAAGAAGAGGAGGAGGAGAAGAAGAAGAAGAGGAAGGGGAAGAGGAAGAGGAGGAGAGAAGAAGAAGAGAAGAAGAAGAGAGGAAGAAGAAGAAGAAGGAAGAAGAAGAAGAAGAAGAAGAAGAAGAAGAAGAAGAAGAAGAAGAAGAAGAAGAAGAGAAGAAGAAGAAGAAGGAGCAAAGTCAATGAGGAAGCCAGATTCACTTAACAACCGTGCTACTAATTTAACAACTGTGGCGAGAAAAGTCGTAAAATTAAACAACCGGGCTGGCTTAAGATGAAATTTTTAACTGTTTTTAAATGTTTTAAACGTTTTTAATTGGTAAATGAGTTTTAATTGGGCCAATTAAATATTATATATATCTTTTATTATATATCTTTTAATTGTTTTTAATATTTGTTCTGCATGTTTTTTTTAATCTGGCTGTACACCGCCCTGAGTCCTTTGGGAGAAGGGCGGTATAGAAATCCAATATAAAATAAAATAAAATAAATAAAAATAAAATGGGGCAAAATTCCTTAAAAAATTTCTCATTTAGCAACAAAAATTTGGGGCTCAATTGTAGTCACAAGTTGAGGAGTACCTGTACTTTTAAAGCTATGATTTTCCCAGGCTTGGGAGGGGTGATGATGGTAGTACGGTTTTCCCTGGAGAAAACGTCTTGAAGGCTAGAAACTTGAAAGAGAGGCAAATACGAAACTGGCACTTACTTTTTCAACTCCAGCTTCTCATCCACAGCGTGCCTGGGGTGATCTCCATTGGCTTGGTGGTTGAACTTCCCATAGCTAAATAGAAAAAGGAGAAAAGGATGTTTATGCAAAACTTTATTTATTTTTAACAGCTATTTGTTAGGTAAGTGAAGCTTCCTGGCGTGATAGATAGATAGATAGATAGATAGATAGATAGATAGATAGATAGATAGATAGATAGATAGAGATAGATAGATAGATAGATAGATAGATAGATAGATACATACATACATACATACATACATACATACATACATACAGTAGTGGCCAAAATTGTGGAAATCTTTTGGGGAAAGTGTATTTTTGAGATTTGATGGCTAATAACACCACTTCTATTTTGGAGTTTCAGGATAATCCTATTCTACTGCTGGAATGGCTTGGGAATAGCCGAGACCTTAACCCAATGGAAAATCGATGGAGCCGACTAAAGAAACTTGCTAGTCAGAAGCGACCCAGCAATAAATCCCAGTTAATAGAAGCCATCGTTCAATCTTGGTTTCACATGATAGCTTCACAGCTGCAGAACTAAAAGACTTGGTTCCCTCCATGGGAAGACGTTGTAAGGCCATCATTCATGCTAAAAGATTACCCAAGGAAGGATTAACTGTCGTGGTGATCATTTTTGTATATCTCGTTTTTTCTACGTGTTTCCCTTTTCTTCTTTATACTGTCACTGCTCTTCTAATAGCAAATCCTTCTAAAAGTTATTGCATTACATTCCTGATTAAATGATGTTTCCATTGATATATGGTTTTATGGGACTGCTCCCCCAAAAAGTGGTGTTATTAGCTAGTTTCAGAAAATACACTTTCCCAAAAGGTTTCCACAATTTTGGCTACTACTGTATATAAGCAAACATTTTGGGGGGGGGGGGGGCTGGAGCTAATGCAGTAACCTGTCAGACAAGTTTGAGCATAAACTGCTTTAGAGGAATGGAATCAGCTGCCTTGCAAAAGAGGAAGCGTTTTATTCTACTGAACAAATCCAACATACTTCTGAAGTGTACGTACGTTTCGTGAAAGGATGGATGGGCAGATTGGTAAAGGCTGAGGGAGAGGAGAGAAGAAGGGAAGGAAGGAGAGAGAGGGGGGAAGGAAGGCAAGAGAGAGAGAGAAAGAAGGGAGGAAGGATGATAAGAAGGAAGGAAGAAACTAAGAAAGAGGGAAAGCAGAAAGGGAGGGAGTGGGGAGAAAGGAAGGAAGAAGAAAAGAAGCAAGGAAGGATGGCAAGAAGGAAGGAAGAAACTAAGAAAGAGGGAAAGAAGAAAGGGAGGGAGTGGGGAGAAAGGAAGGAAGAAGAAAAGAAGCAAGGAAGGATGGCAAGAAGGAAGGAAGAAACTAAGAAAGAGGGAAAGAAGAAAGGAGGGGGAAGGAAGGAAGCAAGGAAGGATGGTAAGAAGAAAGGAAGAAAATAAGAAAGAGGGAAAGATGAAAGGAAGGGAGGGAGGGAGAGAGGGAGGAGGAAGGAAGGAAGAAGGAAGCAAGCAAGCAAGAAAGAAAGGTAAGAAGGAAGGAAGAAAATAAGAAAGAGGGAAAGCAGAAAGGAAGGGAGGGAGGGAGGGGGAGAAAGGAAGGAAGAAGGAAGCAACGAAGGATGGTAAGAAGGAAGGAAGAAAATAAGAAAGAGGGAAAGGAAGGAAGGAAGAAAGGAAGAGAGAGAGAGAGAGAAAGAAAGAAAGAAAGAAAGAAAGAAAGAAAGAAAGAAAGAAGAAAGAAAGGAAGAAAGAAAGAAAGAAAGAAAGAAAGAAAGCTTCAAGGGTTCCTTCCTTCCTTCCCTCTTTCTCATTCACCTTTGGAATCCATCCTTCCTCCCTCTTGGAATTAATCCATCCTCTCTCTTGGAAGGAAGATGAGAGAAGGAAGGAAACAGACGAGAAAAGGAAGGCAAGAAGGCCTACTCTCTACCCGTTTCCCAAACTCAAATCCTTCCAAGATCCGACAATCCAGCCCACCTCATCAGGTGCTGAAGGCAAACCGCCTTTCCCCAGGTCAAGGAAACCCCAACGAACGCCAACCCTTTTAGGTAGGCCACGTGTGCAGCCCACAAGAGATGGGGGGGGACCCATCTGGCTATCGCTCAGGCCTTGAAAGTAGGGGTCTGCCTCCCCTCAGGAGGGAGAAAGGATTACCGGTTGAGCAGAAGATCTAGGACCTGCTTCGTGGTCGCAAACGCCCGGTAGGTACAGAGGAAAATCGTCACGTAGGTGGAATCGTTGCCTTTGAACGCCGAGACCAGGTATTCCACCAACTTCTCCAGGGTGCCGGCTTTGATCGTCCGCACTTTGCACGTCTCGTAGAGGTTCAAGGCCGACTCGTTCTCAAACTGCAAAGGGAGAGAAATCATGAGGAGGGGAGTCCCAAGGGCTGCCTTAAAGCCGAGGACGCACAGTCAATGAGGGGGAAGCTGGATTCGTTTAACGACCGCACCGTTCGCTCAACGACGGCAGCGATTTTCTTAACAAACCGTGGGGCCGGTAAAATCCGGAGCAATTCACTTAGCAACCACCTGGCTTAGGTCTGGAAATTCTGGTTCTAGTCCCAGCAACGGTCGTTAAGCCGAGGATTAACGGCAAGGCAGCCCTTTGGTCTACTCCGCAGGGCACGGAGCGTGTTTCCACCGCTCGAGAACCGTGCCAGAATCAAAACAAACGTCTTCGTTCTGGATCTCCGGCCAACCGTTTTATTTTCTCAGCTGTGCTGGCGTAGTTTGAAAAAGGAAAAAACAAACAACACAATCTGTTTGGTCACCTCGGGATCAGCCCTTAGAATATTCAAAATATTTTCCGCTGCTTCGCAGACGCCACACCTCAATTCCCTAACAGAGGAGGGGCTGAATGCTCAACTCAGCTGCTCAGATGTTCTCCTTCTCCGGGGCCCCGTACAGAGTTGGAAGGGACCTTGGAGGTCTTCTAGTCCAACCCCTCGGCTCAGGCAGGAAACCCTAAAACCTCGTTGGATGGAGTTTTCGGCAAGCCGGCAAGCCCAACGGATCGGCAGTTAAAATAAGCCAGCTTCTAGTCCTCAAGGCTGGACAACATCCTTCCCCGTTGACTTTGCTCGTCAGAAAGTCCCTGAAAAACGGGATCGCACGACTGTCATAAATACAACTCAGTTGCCAAGCGTCTGAATTTGGATCCTGGGGATGCTGGTGAAAACGCCGTAAGTCACTTTTTTCAGGGACGTTGTAACTTTGAATGGTCCCTAAATGAATGTCGTAAGACGAGGACTGCCTGTATTGGCATTAGTGCACGGAGTTCTCGTTTAGCGACCATGAAAGGGGACAAGCAACTTGGTCATTAAGTGAAGCGATCGCTAAGCGAAACCACGATGGCGCTTATATAATTTTTTTCCTTTGCTTTACGGACCTGCGAAGAAAATCTATATAAAATATGCCACCAGAAAAATTAGCAAAGGTGTTTAAGGATAAATCAGCCAAATGTTGGAATATGTTTGCATTTGCCGGGAACATACTCTCCTATGTGGTGATCATGTTTAGAAACAAAAAATTATTGGTCTAGAAACGGTTGGAAGAAATATTACGTAAATCTATAGAATTAAAACCAGAGTTTTTTTTTTAATTGGGCATTCTCCCAGAGAGATATAGTAAAGAAGATGTGTATCTAATTATACATATAGCAAACGGTCGCTAAATGAGGCCGTCACGAAACGAGGACTACCTCGCGCGATTATTATTGGCTTAAAAGCTTCACTTCCATCCGAGGGGAACAATCTCAGCCCTTGTGGAAATACATAGAATAACCAAAGAGCAGGATATAATTGCATTTTGTGTCCGGGGGGGGGGGGAGGAAAGCTCCACCCACTCGTGCTTCCCACAGCCCTGCAAGGTAGGCCAGTGTTCTCAAACACACACACACACACCCTCAAAAAGGATAAATAAGGAACTTACGCCCAGCCATCGCTGGCCTTTGTTGGCTGTGTGATGGAGCTGAACTTTCCGGAGAGAAATACTGTAAATCACGCTATCTTCAAATTCTTCTCCAATCTCCTGAGTTGAGCTCTGGAACGAGAAATGACAGGAGGGGGGGGAAAGAAAGGAATTCAAAACGACAGGTAAGTCCTCGACGTACGACGACCACAACAGGAGGCCGACATTTCTGTAGCTTAAGCGAGACGGGTGTGAAGTGGCTTGGCCCCCAGTTTTAACGACCTTTCTTGCCACACAAGTTGTTAAGCGAATCGGTGCAGTAATCTGGTTGTTAAGTGAATCTGGCTTCCCCATGTGACCATGGGTCACTGCAACTGTCATAAATATGAATCAGTTGCCAAGCATCCCAATTTAGATCATGCTGCAAAGGTTGTAAATTTGAAAAATAACTTCTCCCTCCCTCCCTCCCTCTCTCCTTTCCTTTTTCCCTTTCTCCTCTTTCTTCCCTTCCCTAGCTTTCCTTTTCTTTTTCCTTCTTTCCTTTCCTTCTCTTTCCTTTCTTTTCCTTTCCTCCTGTTTCCTTTCTTTTCCTTTCCTTTGCTTTCCTCCTTTGCTTTCCTCCTGTTTCATTCTTTTCCTTTCCTTTCCTCCTTTCCTTTTTTTCCTTTCCTTTCCTCCTCTTTCCTTTCCTTTCCTCCTTTCCTTTCCTCCTGTTTCCTTTCTTTTCCTTTCCTCCTTGACTTTTCTTTTTTTCCTTTCTTTTCCTTTCCTTTCCTTTCCTTTCCTTTCCTTTCCTTTCCTTTCCTTTCCCTGTTTCCTTTCCTTTCCTTTCCTTTCCTTTCCTTTCCTCCTCTTCCTTCCCTTCCCTTTTTCTTTCAATATGGAATTTGGGGCAGGGAAAACTCCCTATTTTGCTTTATGGCCTGGAAACCTTTGAATAGGTTTTCGTGTTCCTGAGCCCAATCCGCCTGTGCTTTTCAGAGGCACAGAGTCCACAAGGAAACCATCCGCATTCTTCGCATCGCAATCGAAAGCCAGGATCTCATATTACTTTCCCTCCCACTGTCCCCGCTGCTTCTAGATAACGCTGGAAAGGACGGTATAAAAGGGCCATTCCAGCCAACTGAAGGACGGGGTTGACATACTAATTCCTGCCTGAAAGCTGCTGAAATTCCTTCCTGATGATTAAAAACCTGGTCCTGTGTGGCAGAACAAATCCTGTTTTCTAAACCGCTTGAATTAAATGTTCCTGCAGAGATTGCATCCCAACGCAGGCGGCCTCAAGAACAGAAAGAGATAACCCCAAGTCATAACAGTTGCAACTTCCTTCCTTCCTTCCTTCCCTCCTTCTATCCTCCCTCCCTCCCTCCTTCCTTTCTTCCCTCTCCTTCCTTCCTTTCCCTCTCTCTCCATTCCTTCCTCCTTCCTCCTTCTCCTTCCCTCCTATCCTCTCTCCTTTTTCCTCTCCCTCTCCTTCCTCCCTTCCTCCTTCCCTCTCCCACCCTCCTCTCCCTCTCTCCTTCCTTCCTCTCCCTTTCCTTCCTTCCTTTCCCTCTCTCCTCCATTCCTTCCTCCTTCCTCTCCCTCTGTCCTTCTTCCTCCTTCCCTCTCCCTCCCTTCTATCCTCCCTTTCTTCCCTCTCTTCCTTCCTTCCTCTCCCTCTCCCCTTCCTTCTTTCCTCCTTCCCTCTCCCCCCTCCTTCCTATCCTTCCTTCCTTCCTTCCTCTCCCTTCTATCCTCCCTCTCTCCCACTCCTTCTATCCTCCCTCCCTCTCTCCTTCCTTCCTTCCTTCTTTCCTCCCTCCCTCCTTCCCTTCCTTTCTGAAGGCAAGGCAAGGCAATTGTTGAGTTGTGCCCAATTGTACAACTTTGTTGTCACGTTTGCAGAGCTGAGCTGGGGTGACCTACGCGTGCCATAGGTTTGCCATCATGGATATATAGGATCTCCTGCTTGAGCAGGGGGCTGGACTAGAAGGCCTCCAAGGTCCCTTCCAGCCTTAGGAGGAGGCTGGGTAATTCTACGCCACTCCTTTGTGGAGAAAAACCTCAGCCGCTCTCTCTAGGCAGCCCTTTGCACAAAGAGAGAAATGGCTGTGTGAAATCTCTTTGAACCAAAACATCCCAGCACGATCAAACCCAGGGGTGAAATCCAGCAGGTTCCGACGAACTGGTAGCGGAAATTTTGAACCGGCAAATACCACCTCTGGCTGGCCCAAAGTGGGGTGGGAGTGGAGATATTGCAATATCCTTCCCCCAGGAATGGGGAGGGAATGGGGATTCTGCAGTATCCTTCCCCCAGGAGTGGGGAGGGAATGGGGATTTTGCAGTATCCTTCCCCTGCCACGTCCACCAAGCCACGCCCACAGAACTAGTAGTCAAAACAATTTGGATTTCACCACTGATCAAACCCCAGGGAAACTTTCATGCATTCCCCCACGTAGATCACGACTCCAGCCAACTCAGGACTACCCAGGAATTACCCCCGTGTCGGTAAAATAAAGTCATCGTTTGGGTTTCTCGGCAGTCTACGTTCGTTCGACGGGTTTCCCTCCTGCCTCTGCTTCCATTTCTCCCCAATTTTTCACCCCATTCCTGGAAACGGTTGCCTCCAAAGACGCCAATGTCTGCAGAAGTGTGGAAATATATATATATATGAATATATATATTTAGCAGAAACAAAGTGCCAACTCCTGGAAAAAAAGAGCTGCGGACGTTTGCAGGCAGTGCAGCAGAGGAGAAAATGATGATGATTTGAAGAGGGCAGCCGCAAAGCCTTATCGAGAAAGGATGAATCAAGAATAGGAAACCTGACGTAGCAAATTCAGTTCAGGGGCTCACGAGGCTGCGACGAACCGGAAGGAGGAATGCCCCAGCTTGCTGAGTGCGCGCCCTCAATTTCCTTCCCCTTTTTTTAAATTCAGAAAGCTGATTCAGTTTCACGGCGAAGGGTATCTGGGGAGAGAGTTCTCGGCGCGGGCACCTCGGGGGGTGAACTGAGAGTTTGGAGAAGCTGCCATAGATTCAGGGCACGTGATGGGGGGCCTCGTGTTTCGAAGGCTGGCCTGTGGATCACGCTGGCGCCGCTCAGCGGCTCCTTTTTTTGCTGAGTTGGTCCCTTCGCTGCGTTTCCCCGAAATGGGGGAGGACAACAACTTGGGCACCTGGGATGGAGTGGGAGGAAAACAACCAGAGATGCATCATTGCAATGGGATCGTTGCCAAGATAGAATTTGGTGGCATTCGGTAGTCTTGTCTGGGCTTTGAAATCCATTTCTCCCCCCTTTTTTTTCCTGGTTCTGATTTTCTCTAGATTGAAGAAGCATCCCATTGTTTCCAGCAACAATACAGGCAGTTCTCAACTTACGACCATGCGTTTATGGGTTACACGGCGCTGAACAAAACGGGACTTACAACCGATTCCTCAGAATGATCCCTTCCACCCCCAATGCAGCATCCCAGGTGTCACCGGATCAAAATTTGGCGCTTGGCAACCGGCATATCTTTTACTTTTAACCGGCAAAAAGGTTGTAAAATCAGGCGTGGCTTACTTAACAAAACCAACTTGCTTAGCAGCACTAATCCTGGTCCCAATGGTGGTCTTAAGTCGAGGACAACCTGCAGCATTTTTGTTTTTGCAGCAGAATTGAAAATAACGCACATTTCGGCGCGGAAAATTGCTGCTCGCTTTCCCTGCGCTGCTAGCTTTCTGCATGCAAGGAAGCTTCGACCTGCTCTTTCCACAGAGATTTTGCAAGCTGTTGGAAAGACTTTCTGAGTGCCAATAACTGCACCTGCAGATTCCCCCCCCCAATCACAGGTAGTCCTCGACTTACGACCACAATGGAGCCCCAAATTTATGCTGCTTAGTGACGACGTTTGTTCCGTTTTGCCCCGTTTGACATTTCTTGTTAAGTGAATCTCTCTTGCCGTTGATAACGTTAGCTGCCCGGTTGTTAAGCGAATCCGGCTTCCCTGTTGCCTGTCAGAAGGTCGCAACCGTCATAAGTGGGAGTCAGTGGCCAAGCGTCCCAATTTGGATCAGCTGACGGTGCTGCGACAGTGACAGTATGAAAGACCAATCCTAAATCGCTCGTTTTCAGTGCTGTTGCAACTTCGGAACGGTCACTAAAGGAGCTGGGGTAAGTCTAGGACAGAGGTCGGCAACCTTACACTCAAAGAGCCACAAAGGTCTTAACCGGAAGCCCCCGTTCAATTCTGGAGCTGACCGGAAGTCGATTTCCCCCACCATAGAGTCTCCTCCTAGCGCGGCGTCCTTTTTCCTCTACCTGTCCTAACCAAAAGCCCTATCAATCGTGGAGCCGACCAGCAACAGGGAGCCACAGCAGAGGGATGAAAGAGCCACATGCGGCTCCAGAGCCCAGGTTGCTGACCCGATCTAGGACTAACTGTCAATCTTTCCCGGCGCTTTGAGATAGGATCTGCAGATAAGTCTGTGCAGCACAGAAGTCATCAATATATATATATAAAAATACTTTTTCTTAAGTGCCTCTTTGGGCCTGGAGAGCCATCCCGTCTATTATAATGTGCTTTTGATGACTTAAGGGCCGCGATGACACTCGCCTTAATGGATTGAGGTACCCGCGATTCTGCCCAGAAGTTACTTAAAACCAGCGGCCTCTAAATCTATCTTGCTTTCATCTAAATTTTGGCAGGATCGTTGGGATGCCGAGATCTGCAGCCAAAAAAAATCTCTTGATGGATGTGCTGGATCGCGAGAGGCGGACGGGCCGCGTTTTGCCGCATAAGGCCAGAGGCTTTCTCGCCCAGCCGCCAAGTTGTCTGAAATGACTTTGGGCATGGTTTGTGTCTTTTCTGCTTAGCCTACCTGGCAGGGCTGTTGTTAGCGTGGAACGAGCAGGGAGAATGTCCTGTAATGGCCGTATTTGGAGACGGGGCTGCGGCGCGGATGGACTGATCGGATTGGATTTTTTTTCCCCTGCCTTTATTTATTTATTTTTTTATAAATAACTCAAGGCTGGGGACGTACTTAACCCTCCTTGTTCCTGCTACAACAACAACCCTGTGAGGTGGGGTGTGCTGAGAGAGACTGATTGGTGCAAACTCATCCAGTGTTGGGGTCGTGAAATGAATCAGGCTTCCGTGTTGTTTTTG